AGCAATTTATGCAAATCTATGTAATTATTTAAATTTGTTAAATGCTTAGCAGTGATGAATGAAAAAAAAAACGCCAAGTTATTTTTAGCATAATTGATTACATTTTTCAAAATATCCAACGTCAAAAAGTGCCACTCTCTAATTAGTTTATTTTTTTTTTTTGTTATTTTTTTTCTTTTTAGGCCATTTAACAATCGTTCATAATTGCGTTTATAGCGTCTCTTCAGCTGTTGCTTTGACAACTGCTTCTGTTGCCATCATTGATGCTCCATTTGTGTCAATTTGTTCATTTCTGTCATAAATTGGCCATTCGGTTATGCTTTGACTTTGGCGGTGGAAGTTGTTGCTATCGCTAATATTTTACACTCTATGGCAAGCGAAGAAAGAAAAACTAAGATAATAAATACTTAGAAACACACATCACTTTCGATTTCTTTTGAAATGAATTCATGTGTTTGTGTGGTTTTTTTTTATTGTCCAAGGTACAAGTAGATGCGTGTTAACGCAGCCTTTGTTCTTGCTAGAGGCCTAAGCTTTTGAAATCATTTTTAAATTTAAGACAAAATTAACTAAGTTAGACATATCGTATGAAGTGTTGATGAGTGCAATAAATATTATTCTCTAGTGGAAGGCTTGACTTTAAAAAAAAAAATAAAAAATTTGAGAAAAATTTTTATAGTTACTTTCTTTCGCATTGAAAATAATAAATAGTTAGTAAAAAATCCTATATCTATAACCTTAAATGAAATTTTTAAAATCACCTGCATATTATGTACATTAGGGTGCATCACTTCGCACACAAAAAAACGGTAACTGTCTTCCATTGGAACTATGAAGTTTATTGTATTTTAACAGAGCTATTCTGGCAACTGTCTTTCAGCTCAACACAGTCATTCAAAAGACAAAAGTCTTAATCTTTGATTGAAAAATGCGCCAAGTTAAATTAAAAATATATATGTAAATATATATTTTTTAAATAATGAAACCAAATATTAAGTAAAAACTAAATATAAAAAAATTAAATTAAAAAATTTATAAAATAAGTTTCTAAAAATTAAATGATAATTAAAGCCAAATGTATTTTCAAAGCAATAAAATCTAAAATTTAATTTAAAAAATAAATAAATTCCTAAATATTAAAAAACTTAACACTTTCTCTGCGAAGACAAATTACTTGCCATTCGTACACACCTTCCCACCTTCCCACCTTATTTCAATAAGCAATGTGCCGCCGGCAAGCTCTAACGACGCAACTTTTGAACGTATGTGTGTGTGTAGTTAGCCCAAAAACATTTATAACTAAACCCTTTGTCAAATTTTGTTTTAATCAATTAGCAGGTCAACTGTAAGTACTGCCGAGGTTACGCGTCTAAAATGTAGAAACGCCCTTTGACAAACTAACGCTGCGTATGGCTGCTAATGGGAACCGTCATAAAATGCTCCGGATTTTTTTTTTT